TTTTTTTTTTTTTTTTTTTTTTTTTTTTTTTTTTTTTTTTTTTAAATCAGGAACATTTATGAGGAACTTTAGCATCAGCAAATATTTGATTACAACTTTTTATGTCAGCATACTTACCATTCCAGACCTTTGCCATAGCTTAGAAACAGTATTTCTACCTAGGATATTTACTAAGCACCCAGTTTTGAACTGGTGATGTTCTGGCTTGAGTTCATTCTGTGGGAAAAGAATACTGTGGACAGCCAGGAAGCTGGCAAGAGACCAAGCAGGCAAGCAACAGTACCAACTTTCAGGCCTACAAAGTTTCCAGCAACATGACTTTAGATCTCGTTATTCTTGCAGATGCATTAAAATGACCTTTTAAACAAATTCTTCAGTTTTCCTGTTAAGACTTCAGCAGAGTCAAAGTCTAGCAAGGGATCTTGGAAAGGTTTTTGCGAGCTTCCTTCACCCCTGCTGTCATTGTCCACTTCTAGCAGGTTGGTTTTCTTCCTGGTACATAATGTTCTTGTGAATTTAACTGCGAGCAAGCAATGGGGCTTGACACTGTTTTTCTGCAGGACACTTTTTTAGATTCTTAAAGGATACACTGATTTTCTTTTGAGAAGGCACATTCGTTTTTTTTAATTTTACATATACAGCCAAATTCTCACTGTTTTCCATTTCTGTACTCTTGCATCATGGAATACCTACTTTTCCTTCCCAGCATTTAAATGTTTGCAGTGCTGGATCTTGGCTGCCAGATAGTCTGTATATGCAGCATGATAATCTTCAGGAACATGAATAGTACCACATCAGTCTGATAATTATCAACAGTGCTCAACACACGAGTGATGTGGTTAGCAAAGATGTGGGCTTCCATCTTGCATACTTAAACTTGGTAAGGAGAAATTGTAGGTGTTTAATCACGATAATTACTGAACTTTGTTTTAGTGTGTTCAACAGGGGGAATGTGATCCCAAATCCTTCTTTTTCCAGGTCTTTCTGCATAAAGTATCTTCAGGCAATAAGAAGTTCATATACCAGTAGTGCAGTACCATTCTTATACTATCCTGTACGTGCAACAGATCCCAAGGAGGAAGGCTCCTTGCTTCTTCTTCTGACCCCACAAACCTGCTGTCACAGGCCAGCAACAGGAAAGAGCAAACTCTTTCTCGCCTACACGAGGCGGTTCAACACTGTTCTCTTGTTCTTAGGAGTGAAACATTTGACCTTCACAGATGTCGAATACTTTCTCTTCCCGCCCACAGCCTACGAAGTGGCCTCGGCTGTGCCCCAGAAGACATTTTGCTCCATCCATCCCGTCCCGGCTCGGAGCTGCGTTACTTCCTGCTGCGCTCTCCCAAATCACACACACGCTCCCGCCCCTGCCCGCCCCTCCTGTCACCTCCCTCTGCGCCCCAGATCCCACCGCTCGGAAAGGCAGGTCTGCAGGCCAGGGAAACAAAGCTCAAAAGGAAAAGCCTCCGATTCTGCCCCCAAGGCACTGCCAGGCTGCGGCGTGTCCGCGCTGTGCGGGTACAACCGAATCCCTGTGCTCCGAGGATGAGAGAAAGGGCACTAGGGCAGAGCCCTGAAGACGGCCTGGCTTCTTCTAGGGAGGCAGGAGCTGGTGTCGGCCCAGGTGAGCCCCGTCACCCCTCCCGCCCTCGCAGCAGCCCCCAGAGATGCTTTCCAGAGCTCCGGCCGGAGAGCGGGGCTGTGTGCCCTGCCCGCTCTGCCATTCGGGCTGTGTG